GGCTTGGCTATGGAATGTGAAATGGAAAGTTGCATTGGCAGAAATTTCACCTGCTTCTTACTTCTATAAGCTAGAATGCTATCTCCCACGTCAGGACAACCAAACACAACCACAGACACATTTGTGAGTAAGTAAGTATGCAAAGCTTGTTGTGGCAGCAGTGGATCAGAAGAATAGGAAAGACACGCACAATGTTGTTTATCTTCGTCCCAAGATAAAAACAATGGGGAAAAGAAATAACGGAATTCTGAAAGTAATTACATTTACAGTGATACTCTGGGCAACCCTCAGAATGGTTTGGCTGCATTCCATTGCATACTTCCATTTGGAAACCAACTCAATTTGTTAGATGGAAGTCCTAATTGTCTTCTCAATTTGCTGCTCTGTCTACTCTCCTGCTAGGATTTTACACATCAGACTGCTTTTGTCAAATCAAAGTGGGGACAGAGGTACTTCTTCACAAAGAAGGTGACATCATATTCACACACATTTCTGCCGAAGGACCCCAGGTACACACATGCTTATTCATTGGTCCACCATAGCAGCATGTCAGGACAAGGTCAGCTGACAAGGGTGCCAACTTCACCTTCCAAGGGGAGACACGGAACCACCAAGTCTTTAAAACATGGCGAGTTTATGCTTGAAAATGAAGCACCAGGTTTGGGAGTCCGTACCTCATGGTGCCAACCTTCCTTTGCAAGCCAGGGAGTTTGTCTCTATTACCAGAAGAGATAATGGCGCACCTCGATTTCCTGAATGCTCTTCAAGGTGAGTGACCCCTGACACAGACCTCCCACCGGGAAGAGCTTGATTATGAACGGAGTTACCTGGGTTTTTGTAGATGCCGAGCACACCCTTGAAGTAATGAGGTAAAAATCTCTCCAGTAAAAGCAGCACATCTTCCAGCTCTTCAAGAATCCCCACAAGCAGGAAGTTTTCATTCACGTTCAGTTTTGCTCTTTCGAGGGCCCACTCACCAGGCTCCCTTTTGGATATAAAAACCATTTGTAAATCAAAGATTAGTCTTTGAAAGGCAGCAACAACCTGCTGAAAGTTTATTGCTTCTAACCTACCTCTCCCCTTTCACCTGAGTTCCCATCCTGTTTCCTTCAAAGACCAGCCCTAACACCACACTCCTCCACAGACCTCCCTGGTCCTGCCAGCTGAGTGTCCCTGGACTCCTCACCCGCCTGCTGCGCTTGGGCAGTGGCCCCCTCCTGGCCTCAACCCCTGTCAATGAGGCAAAATGCCCAGTTCAGGGTCCTGAACTTAGAGGGTCCTTCCACTAAGTAGAATATATGTTGAAAGAAGAATAGAGGCACAGGCAGTCAGATACTCAAAAACATACCAGTCAGGGCGATAGGAAGGGCTTTTAGTAAGAGGACCAAGCCAAGCCAATTATGACAAGTTAGTTTTTAAATATAAAATGTATGGACAGACTATATAGAAATCAAAAGAGGGCATGTCTGCCAGTCATCTTCTTTTTTAAAAGACAGTTGTTGTTGTTTTA